AACCACAATCTCAAAATTCTCCGTCTCCAGCTCTTCCTTGCCAATCCCATAGAGGGGGCTTTCCTCATCAATCTCATGAACGATAATGATGGGTGAGACCAAAAATATACGATCAAGACCCACATCGTAGCCCACATTTAGGTCCCGCTGGTCCAGGGGGAGGTATTCCCCTTCCTCCGTCATGTAGGGCTTGATGAGCTGGGCTCGGACATGGGCCTCCACAATGTGACTCCTCCTCAGGTTGCCCACCCTCCACATGAGACACAGTTTGCCATCCCTCACGGAGATGACCGCATGATGGCTGAAGAGAAGGGTCTGGGCCCGCTTCTTGGGCCTTGCCATCTTGGCCATGATAGTGCCAATCATGAAGGAGTCAATCACGCAGCCCACGATGGACTGCACCACCACTGCCATGATGGCCAGCGGGCACTCCTCAGTCACGCAGCGGAAGCCGTACCCGATGGTTGTCTGTGTCTCCACTGAGAAAAGAAAAGCCCCCAGGAAGCTGTTCACGTGCATGATGCAGGGCTTGAGGAGAGAGGGACTACCTGCCACCGCCGGTGCATTGAGGTCGCCATGGAAGAAAGCGATGCACCAGAAGAGGAAGCCGAAGAAGAGCCAGGAGACCAGGAAGGCGGCGGAGAAGATCATGAGCATGTACCGCCAGCGTGTGTCCACACAGGTGGTGAAGATGTCAGCCATGTAGCGCTGAGACTTGTTGCTCAGGTTGGCAAAGTAAACGTTGCACTGGCCGTTCTTCTTCACGAAACGGTTGCGGTGCTTCCGCCGGGGAGCATGGCCCTTCCCATTCCGGCTGTGCCCATTCATGCTGCCCAGCGTAGAGACCTTGTGTCCATCCTCTTCAGTTGAGACGATGCTGTACCTGGGAACAGAAGAAACAGGCACTTCCATCAGGAATACGTGAAGGGTAACAGCAACCTCTGAGACAGCAAGGGCAGGAGACGTGGGTGGTTCACAGGGCTACAGTACCACCCTGTTGGATCTTACAACAGCACGTTTCAGTGATTATTGCACCATGGTGCCAATCTGACCAAACTGGTGGAGATCAGCTGCAATGTTTGCTGAATGTTGCTGTCTGGAGGTTGCGTCTAGCAAAGTCCTGACAGGGCAGCAAAGCAGCAGCAGTGTGTAGCTCTGTGGTGCCTTCCAGCCTTTATGGTGAGGAGGGATACCAGGCTTTGAAACCTGTCAGAAGCTGGGACAGCCAGGAAGCCTGGGAGCAAGCACCCACAGCCTGACCACATTTTGGCCCTCATATAATACAAGGCTGGGAGTTTCTATTTTCTCCTCTGCTCTGCTCACTGATTTCATGGTGTGTGCAATGTTATAGCAATGTTTATATACTTGCTTCCTCAGGACAATTCTGTTGCCACAGCAACATGTGTGTCTTCCAGCATCCCTTATCTGAAGCCAAAGGTGTAATTGGGAAATCAACAGCCAAAGCACTGGCAGTTTCCTTGGCAGAAACTACACACACACTTTCTGGGAAACCTTTGCCCCTCTGGCTCCCTTCCCTTGCAGTCAGCTCTGACACTGCCCCTCATGTGATCCTGTGACACTTGCAGATACTCCTTAAAGATGTGACGGTAGACAGTGCTCTGACCACTGAGGAAACCAAGAGAGTGCACTGAAGCACAAAGACTGCTCTGCCCTCATGCCTGACAAGCCGCAGCCTCACAGGACCCTGGGAGTCTCTCCCTCCCACCCTGTGGTGTTGACATGTCAGCTGGAGTCCCCCAGAATGGGCCTCCATCTCAAGGCAAATGTTAGCGTTCAGAAACACATAATCACGGAATGGTTGTATGCAGGTGCTTTTATTGAAGAGCTCTGGGTGTTTGGGGTACAGACCCAAATCTGACTCCGACATGGGTTCAGGATGAACATGTTTTTATACCTTTATCATTATATAACTACATATTAATTATTAAACTTATATTGTTCTATTGTATACATTGATCTCATGCAAGCATGGATTCTTGTCATCTCCCCCAAATATCATTTCTCATGATTCCTGTTACGATTGAACAATAATTATATCCAGTTATGGAACAATCATCACATTTAACAATCATATCATTTATCATATAATAATAATATCATTTATCATATTCATTTAATGATTATACAGGTGCAGGTTCACATGATCCAGTAAAGCCCGATATTTTCCCAGGGCCTGCCAGGCCCAACCTTTCTTTCCAACTCCCCTAAATATCCCATGATTTTAGAAACATTTTATCCCTCTACTATCACAAGGACAGCACTGATGGCTGGATGTGTGATTTCTGGGCACATGTGGGTTCTGCAGTGCTGTTGGAATCTGTAATTTCTAGTCAGCACCATGCAGTGCTTTGCTTCTCCCCCAGAGTATTCCTCCAAGCACTACCCCTACACATGGCGTGTTTTGGATTGGAGAAGGATAGAGGAGTCATTACTTGGAACAGGAAAGCTGCTGATAGGTAATTTGAAAAGAATATATCAAAAGGCAGTCTGAAGTTAGGATCTGGGGGGCCATATCAGGAGGTCCTGGTCACTCAGGGCAGCATCAGGTCTCGAGAGAGGGTTACTCACCGATTGACTCGGACGCTGCCCATGGCTCGCTCGCTCATCAGGTGTCAGGGGCCCGTGGGAGCTGGCAGGGCGTGGGAACTCATGCAGCAGCACTCACGTGGGACTGGGCAGCTCCAGGTTTCACCTCTGGCGAGCTGGGATCAGCGCTGCCATTGCGATTGCTCCTGGGCACACGCCTGGCAGAGAAGGACAAAGCAAAACCCGGTCAGCACCCCCCTGGCAGAACCCATCCCAGTCCAGAGCGGCGGGCACAGGGCTCCTGGCCTTCTGCTCAGGGTGTGTTGGGAGCTCTCCTTGGGGCACCTGCTGCAGCCTGGCTCGGGCAGGTGAGGAGCTGATGGATGCAGACTGGGAGCAGGGCTGCAGACCCTGCCTCCTGCCAGCGGAGGAGCAGGGCTGGCTGGTCACCGCCCTCCAGGGCAAGGGCACAGCAGCTGAGCAGCTCACAGGGCCCTCGTCCTGAGCCATTATATTAATATCAGAGCTTACACCGGGGTGAGAGCTCAGCCAGGCTAAATACCTCTCACACAAGGACTAACAAAGCACCGAAATGCACAACAGCCCTCAGGGATCCCTGTCAGCCCAGCCTAACCCTGAGGAGATTTTTTTCCAGGGTGTGCAGAACACCCTGTTTCAAATAAAAGAAGGAAAGCAATGGGTAGAGCCCAAAAGAAATTATGGAAAGGAAGGGCTCAGGAGTAGCCAAGGAGAAGCCAGTTAGAGGAAACAAACCTTGTGATGTGCCCTGTGTACAGCATCCAAGGAGCAGCTCAGCAACAGAATCCTGGGAGGATGTCCCGCAGATGTCCCAATCCAGTCCTCCCAGAATGGAAGGATGGGGAAGTCAAAGACTCGAGAGCCAACCTATTCCACCTGCCCAGAGCTGCTGGGAAGTGAAATGCACTGAGGGGGTAATGACTCACAGATTAGGAAGGGCTTTGTACACCCATGCTAATCCTGCACTGTAGCCTTTGGATTACAGCAGCCAGTGCTGAGTGTGGATGCAGACAGAGCCAGCTAGTCTGTTTTCTCCCAGCCTCACCAATGAACAGCCACTGGTTGCCAGATATGGGGGAAAATACAAGGATTTTGGGATTAAATGTAAGGCTTAAAACTGCTTACAAGTGGTTGTGCACAGGCAGGAGAGAGGAACAGCAAATGATGTTGCCTAGGATGGAAAAGGTGGTGACAATCATCCTTATCTCATCATCAGTACCCCATGATGGGACTGCACATGGCCAGGGGTGCCCACCAGCTTTCCCTAGTTAGGACCAGAGACTGGAAAGCAACTGAAAGGGAGCTCCAGAAATTACATCTGATGGGATGAAGATTACTCAATTACTGAGTTAAAGCCCTGCAGCAACACAAACATGGTTGTTCAGACCAAGAGTATTATGGGACCGGGAGAAGAAAACCACCTTGTAATCTGCAACTCACCATTTAGAGACGAAAGTGAACAGCTGCCCAAAAATCCCCATTAGGAAAAAGCACTTTGACACTGAACTCTGCCAGCTCCCACCAGCTCACTGCCCTACAACATCATGATGTTGGTTTGGCCAGGAATTTTTGCTGTGCAGCTGGGTAAATTTAGAGCAGATCCTGTGCCTGGTAACCTAAGTTAATCAGAAATGTTGATGTGATGAAGAGAGGTCACTTCATACCCACAGATGGTCCTGCTGGGATAAAGCTGACTAGAGCAATTACATGGTGAGTTCAGACTGCAGGGTCCCACATTACTTTGGGAGGTGACAAAAGTGGCCAGTTTAGGTAGAACCCTCTGTGCCAGCCCCAGCCAGGAGAGGAAAGGCATCCTCTTCAACTGGCATAATTTTCAGCCAGCCTGGATAAGCCAAGCTCATCCTTAGCCAGCACTGACCCTGATAACACAGGGAAGGAAGGCACTGTCACAGCTCACACACATGAGTAATTCACAATTTCCTGAAAGTTTCCTGAAACCAACAGCTCTCTTTCTCCAGCTGCAGAAAGAGGTGCACCATTTCTAGAGATTTTGGATTTCTGGCCCAGGCAGCAGCCAGCTCCAAAAGAAAGGAAGAAGGACCTAAGGTGCTTTGTGAAACTGTGTGCAGCAACATCTGGATCTCTGCTCCTCACCTTTCCCCCCCTTCCCAAGAAGGGGCAAAGGAAATAGATAAAATACAAGGGCTTCATTCATCTCCAGTTCAGGCTGGTACAGCTATGGGATGGGATGAGCACGCTGTGTAAGAGCGCTGCATCCTGTGGTGCTGTGCTTCTTCCTGGCTCCCACATGGAAGCTCATGTCAGCCAGAGCTGTGGCAGAGCCTCTTGCACAGAGTCCACCATGGCTGGATCTTGCAGCTCAGAGCTTGGGCAGCCTTTGCTGCTGGCTCCATAGTGCCCAAACAGAGTATTAGCAGCTAAAGTCACATCACTACCTGCAATTGGTACTTAATCACAAGGAAAGTATTTCCACAAAGAATAAAGGCACACACATTTGAGAATGGGAAAGTAAATGCTTTTATTTGCAGTAAATGGTTACAAATGGGAGAAAATGGTCTTGGACCATGCATGAATCCATGGAACTCACACAGAACTCACTCACAAAATCCTTCTCTCCTTAAAATTTGAGAATTTTTCTGGTGGATTCAAGGACCTCAGTAACAACAGGCAACATTTCTGAGGCAAGAACTGCCTGAGGGAGGCATCTTTGTCCATTATGAGCTCGTGGGGGTTTTACCTGATGAAGTCTAAGTTGTGCTTCACTGCTTCCAGGCCAGTCTGTTCTCAGGTTTTCATTCTCCAGCTTGTATCTTTCCAGCTGTCCTTGGAGAATAAAGATCTTCTGCTTCAGCCTCTCCACATTTGTTTCGGCATTCAGAGCCCGCTGGGTCGTTAGCTGAAGATGACACTCGGTCTCCTGGACTAAGGACTGGAGCTCTTGGGCTTCCCTCTCTCGTTCAGCCTGGCTGGTCTTCAGCTGATCCTGCAGGCTCACCACCACGCACGCCTGTCTCTTCAAGCTGTTCTGGAAGGTGTCAAACATTCTCCTGACCATGGCATTGTCCTTCCTGAGTGCAGCATTCTCACTCTCGAGCCTGTCATACTGTTCCCTGAGCACGCCGTATTCCTCCCTGAGCACGATGCCATCCCCCATGAACACAGCCCTGTCCTTCTTGAGCTCTTTGAACGCCTGCCTGAGTGTAAAGTTCTCCGACCTGAGCGCGACATTCGCATTCCTGAGCATTTCGTTCTCTGACCTGAGCATGCTGTTCTCCTGCCACAGCAAGTTGTAGGTCGGCTGCAGGGACAGGGACTCTCTGTCCTTGCTGTCCTCGCTGTCCTCGCTGTCCTTGCTGTCCTCGCTGTCCTTGCCATCCTCCTCGCACAGCACGTGGGGCTCTGTTCCCGTGGTGCTCTCTGGGTGTCCCACATAATGGTCACTGGCGTGGGCCTGTGTGGCAGTGGCCTCTGTCCCCAAGTGCTGGCCTGAGCTGTGCTGGAAAGAATCATGGAAGCCGCTTGGTGCTGTACCAGCCTTTTGGAGAGCAGGCAACCTCTGATGCCCAGGAAAGTGGTAGGTCAGGCTGGGCTCCTCATCTCCAGGCAAGCTATCAGACACTCCCATGTCTTTGCAAAATGGTTCTTGAAACTCCTGATCTTCCTCCTCAATCTCCAGCGCATGCTTGGCCAACTCCACCTGTTTGTCTTTCACCGTGTAAGAGTGCCCAGGAGTTAGGGAGAATGTGGGTTCTCCCAGATCCTCTGTCTGATTTTCATCTGTGCTGTCACTGCTCTTGCACAAGGGTGAAGGAAGTCCAGAATGGCAGGAGTTCCCTGATTCTTCACTGTTGCCATCATCACCATCATCATTGTCATCACCTTGCAACCCTTGAGATTCTGGGTAGACCATCATCATTAGCCCAAAGACGCGAAATGGCTGCGACATTTTTCAGGATGCTCTCAGCTGCAGTAGGCAGGAGAATCCAAATTGTCCTCCTGGAGTGCAGGCCATGCAGACTGTTGACACTGACAAGCAGTGTGCCACCTTCTGCAGCTTCAGCAATGCTTGTTTTGGCCACCAAAATCCCTCTGTTTAGAACATCAGGATGTTCAGGAGGGAGAGGAGAGCCATATACCTCTGCATCTTGTTTCTGAGGACAACTGGAACCACCAGCATTCCAAGGTCTATGATGTCAAGTTCCACGTGTGCTGAGTTGTCAGAAGCAGGGGATGGGGAGGAAGTAATCAACTGCTGTCCTGATTCTGTCTAGGACTGCATTAATTTTCTTCATAGTAGCCAGCACAGTGTTGGATTTAGTATGAGAATAATGCTGATAACACAGACATGTTGGAGTTGTTGTTAAGTTGTGGCTTACTCCAAGACAAGGACTTTCCAGCTGCCCATGTTCTGCCACTGAGGAGCTACACACGAATCCAGGAGGGAGCATGGCCAGAACAGCTGGTCCAAACTAGCCAAAGGGATATTCCATGCCACAGAACATCATGCCCAGAATATAAGTGGGGGATTTAACTGAAGGGGCTGACGAATGCCTGGGGACGTGCTGGGCATCAGTCATTGGGTGGTGAGTAATGAGGCTGTGCATCACTTGTTTCTGTTGGGTCCTGTTATTCTCTCTTTCTGTGCTTATTATTACTATTTCTGTTATTGTTGTTGATGATCATAATATTAATATCATTAACATATTCATTATTGTTATATTTTGTTTCAGTTATTAAATTGTTCTTATTTCAACCCATGAAGTTTACCTTTTCGATTCCCCTCTCCACTGTGGCTTGGGGCAGTGAGAGGGAGAGAGGGGCTGAGTGATACCTAAGTTGTCTGCTGGAGTTAAACCACAACAGCTGCAAAAGGTGTTTTTGGCAACACGAGGGTAAGCTGTCCTCCTGGCTGTAAAGCTGACCCCAGCTTGGGGATGTTGCCAGTGAGCAGAGAGCAGCTCATGAAGCTCCCTGAGACCTCCAACGTAAAGGAAGGACAGGGACAATCCAGCCAGGCAGGTAGCATGGGTCAGAGGGGACAACCCTGTCCCACAGGGTACTGAGACGTCTCCACCAGCAAGGTCAAGCCACTGGCCCTTGGTTGGGGCTCACCCTGGACAGGGGCAGGAGACATCACCAGCACTTTGGCCACAGGCATCGCTCTAAGCTGAACGGCCAGCGGAGGGTCCACGCTGTGGTGCTGCCAATCTGATTCATCCCCTGCTGCCAGCTGGCACAGGGAAGTGTTAGTAATACCGAGTGCCACAAACTCAGAGCGGCACGAGCCAGGAGACGAACAAAAATAAACACGTTTCCCACTTCCACCCCAACACACCCCCACAGCGCGTGGTGCCGCCATGGGAAGGACAGACAGGCAGGCAAGAAACGCCTGGGCTGGGGACTGCTGCCACATTGGGTCACTGTCCCTCCTCAGCAGCTGGTGGGCCAGGGCCACCACTGAGATCCCTGATGGCAAAATCGGTTCCATCAGCTTGGCAAGGCCTGGGGGCTTACCAGGAGCCCAAACCCTATGTAAACATAGTTCAAGTGGCTGTGAAAAGGTCCCATTGCAACTTGGAAACCTGAAATGCAAACGGAATGAAAGGGGAAGGCTCAGAGGTGTCTCCAGCAGAAGGGGATTATATTCATATCCTGAACAGGCAGCTGCCTGTCACATGGACAGGGGGGAGGAAAGCCTGGCTGAGGACAGAGATACAAATCCAGAGCATGCCTGAGGGCATTTCTTGGAGCTTGCTCTGTCTCCTGAGACCCACATGTGAAGGAGGAAGCTGCAGAGTCAGTGGAAATTCCTATGGAGAGGTATGAAACCAAGCTGGTGGGTGCAGCAAGGAGAGATGCTAGGCAGGAGGCTTCAGCCTGGACAGATGCCTCTCCATCCCTCTGCTGCCTGTCCTGTGTGTACATGAACACCCATGAATTTCATGGCCTGCAGAAGCCCCCCAGCACTTTTGAAAGCTGCTGCAGCATGGATGTCACAGCCACTGGGTTGCAGCATTGCAACAGTCAGCCAGATGGGTCTCCAGGGCCCAGCAGCTGCCTCTAGCCCCAAGGCATGTGCTGCCCTTCCTTCTTACCCAGTGACTCTCCCTCCTCCTGTGTCTTAGACTGAGCAATTCCAGGGACACCACCACGGTGCTGCAATCATCTCCTCCTTCCCGTGTGACACCATGCTCCAGCAGCACAAGCCATCACACCAGCCCACGCTGCCACTCCAGTTCTGCTCTGGCCCTCAGCAGGCACGTGGGGCTGCACTGCTCCTGTCCCTTTCCAAGGGATCTGCAGGATAATAAGGTCAAGAAGGTGTTTGGTGCCAGGGCAGTACCTCCATTGCTCCATCCCTGTGTACAGGGATGGAGTCCCAGTCTTTCTCCAGCCCCTGCCAGAGTAGATCATATATTGTCAATCCTTTCTTACATTTGCAATGGAAGAGTCTCATGAAACAGAACAGAAAAGTCCACGCTAAAGCACTCCCCCACTTCTCTTTTTATAACAACCATATCTGGTGCTCTGGGACATACACTGTGAGCGACAACGATGGAAAAATCCCAGGGTATTTTTACACTCTTAGTCTTTGCTTTATCTGGAGTTGTCTGGCAAATGCTTCTCTCCAGTCTGTGGTCAATACCACAGCCGCTGGTTGCACTTTGCTTTGTGCCCTTGTCCCTGTTACTGGCTGCGTGGCACCGGCTGGCTTGGGATCAGCATCCACATCCCCATCCTGCCAGCTCGGGCACGGTGACAACACGGCAGACGAACTTCTTGCCTCTCGGGGAGCCAGGGCGGAAACGCCCGCAGCTGAGGAGGGACCTCTCTGCCTTTTTGCAGAGCCTTGCAGACCCACAGCATACAATATGTCCTCTCCATCCTCTTCGTAACTCCATCTCTCCTGTTCCTCAGGAATATTCCCAGGGTCCATGCTGGGGCTGACAGGGCAGTCTGTGCCATGGGTGGCTGTCCTGCCGCAAGAGCCAGCGGCCGAGCTCTCTCTGCTCCGTGCCGGCAGGGCAGGCTGCCAGGCGCTGTATGGGCACACGCGAAGGCACAGTCACTGTGCAGGAGAGTTTTACCATATTAAAAAGGCAACTGACATATGGAAGGTGAGGGGAGGAAGCTGTAATCAACTCTATACCATTTTTATATACACATTTCTGCCTTTTCGTTCAATAATTATAAATAGATCAGGTGCCAACAGTCCCCATCTGCCCCTCAAGGCATGATCCGCTGACCAGTTTCCCTCTCCAAAAGAGGATTTTATTCATGTGCTTCTGCTCGGTTTTATATTTTGGAGTGGAGTGAGAAGGGGGGATATTTTTTCCCCCTGTGAAGCTCTGGAGCCTGAGGATGGGTAATATGAAAACAAAACAAAATGATTTGAAGTTAAACCATCTCAGTGTGTGACTCAGAGCTATTCATAGCTCCCTGAAGCCAGCTGCAGCAACGGAGCCAGAAGGATTCTGCCCGTATTATTATTCCAATTACCATCTGAATTAAAAGTTTGAGCAGTGATCAGCCCACATGCTGATGGGAGGGGGAGAGAAGAAAGCAAAGAGAGAAGGAGAGAAAGAGTGAGAGGAAGAAAAAACAGATAAAAATGTGAACCACACAAAGGTCCCCGGGATGACAAAGTCAGGGAGAGGCACAGAAAGGTGACAGCATCACCTCCCGCCTGCTCCCACACCGCCCCAGCGATCCCTGCTGCGGCTGCACCGTCCAGACAATGGCGCTGTGAGAACAGCTGCCTACTCCCCAGCATCGCAGACTAGGTGGGGGATACCCCATGGTGGGGCTGGTGGGACTGGCACCAGCATTCACCCACTCCTCTTTGGCCAAAATGAGGCTGGGAGTACATGACACAGGGGCTGGGGGGTGGACTGAGCAGGATTGTAAAGAGAGGATGCTGCTGGATTGGCAGGTGGGGAGAAGTCCCTGCTTTTTCTTGCTGAGTGAGGAAGGTGGGTGTTATTCTCTGTAGCTGGCATCATAGGAAAAATTAAATGCTCAGAAGGGCCCTGGCCTTCCCTGGGTGGTGTTCTTGGACAAAAGGGAACTAAGCTTTTGTAGCAGCCAGGGTGCAGATTGCATCCCACCTGCTCCTGAGGAAGCAGAGGGGCTGACATGCCTCCAGCACCCTGCCACCAAAACCAGAGACTAGACCCGAAAAGGTTAGTGCAAAACCTGCAAGAGGTGAAAAACTGAAGGTTCTGGGGTGTCCCTGATGTCCTCACATCCCAGGCAGATACAGTGCACTCAGGTCACCTCCTCCAGCTTCCCAGCACAATTGCACAGTGCAAAGGGTGTCTTCATTAATCACATCTCTGGAGCTCCCTTCACTGGGCGTCCTGCCCTGCGGGAGCCCTGGTGTAAGGCCATTCCCAACAGCATCCCTTCACCATTTCTTCAGCACAAAGTGCCTGGCCATGTGGGATGTCTTGATGCCTTTTGGCTAGTCAGGGGACAAGGATAATTATCAGTGTGCAGGAAAAGAGGGGGTAAGAGTGGCTTGCATCATCAGCCTGCCTGCTGCAGTTGTGGTCTTGACAGGGCAGGGATGGACTGCCGGTGACTCTGCCAAGCACCCAACAAGGCAGATGCCTGCAAATAATTTATGAATGATGATAATAACAGTGACAGCAGCAAGGGCAAGCAATAACCAGGGCAAAGCCTGCTCTGCGCCAAGTCCCCGATCTAGAGAGGCTGCAGCCACTTCTCCACACCCAGCTGCTGCACGACAGCTGAGTTCCCAGCCTGGCCTGGCTGCTAAGCACTAACCCATCCGAGACAGGGGAAAAAAATCTCCCTTCACCCCGCCTTGTCGCTGGGCTAAGAGGGAACTGAGCAGAGCCACGAGCCTCCTGAAAGGGCTCCAGCTGCTCCCCTTTCGGCCATCTCTGCTAGACACCAGAAACAGAGCAGAGGGAGCATCCC